CACTGTCTGATGTGAACCATGCCTCGCAGAAAAGAGCTCTCAGAAGACCTACAATCAAGAAATGTTGACTTGCATGAAGCTGGAAAGGGTTACAAAAATATCTCCAAAAGCCTTGATGTTCATGTGTCCATGGTGTCTACAAATGGAGAAAGTTTAGCACTGTTGCTACTCTCCCTAGGCGTGGTCGTCCTGTAAAAATGACTGCAAGAGCACAGCGCAGAATGCTGCATGAGGTAAAGAAGAATCCCAGAGTGTCAGCTAAAGACCTACAGAAATCTCTGGCACATGCTAACATTTTTGTTGACACATCTACAATAAGGAAAACATTAAACAAGAATAGAGTACATGGGGAGGACACCACGGAGGAAGCCATTGCTGTCCAAAAAGAATATTGCAGCACGTTTGAAGTTTGCAAAAGAGCACCTGGATGTTCCACAGCACTACTGGCAAAATATACGGTGGACAGATGAAACCAAGATTGAGTTGTTTGGGAAGAACACACAACACTATGTGTGGAGAAAAAAGGCACAGCACACCAACATCAAAACCTCATCCCCACTGTGAAACATGGCGGAGGGAGCATCATGGTTTGGGGCTGCTTTGCTGCCTCAGGGCCTGGACGGATTGTTGTCATTGATGGGAAAATGAATTCCAAAGTTTATCAAGACGTTTTGCAGGAAAACGTTTACGACCATCTGTCCGCCAACTGAAGCTCCGCAGAGGATGGGTGATGCAACAGGACAATGACCCAAAGCATACAAGTAATTCAACAAAACAATGGCTGCAACAGCACAGAATACGCCTTCTGGAGTGGCCCAGTCAGAGTCCTGACCTCAACCCCATTGAAATTCTGTGGCATGACCTTAAGAGAGCGATTCACACCAGACATCCCAAGAATATTGCTACACTGAAACAGTTTTGTGAAGAGGAGTGGTCCAAAATGACTCCAGATCGTTGTGCAGGTCTGATCTGCAACTACAGGAAACGTTTGGTTGAGGTTATTGCTGCCAAAGGAGGGTCAACCAGTTATTAAGTCCAAAGGTTCACATACTTTTTCCTCCCTGCACTGTGAATGTTTACATGTTATGTGCAATTAAAACCATGGCAACATCTGATGTTTGTGTAGTATTATGTTCAGCAGACTGTGTTTTCTATTGTTGTGACTTAGATGACGTTCAGAGCACATTTTATGCCCAATTCATGCAAAACTCCACGTAATCCCAAGGGGTTCACATACTTTTTCTTGCAAACTGTACATCAGGAGTCCTCAGAGTTCCCCCTTTACGTCACGGTTCTTTTGAGAGTCCTCCCTCTCTCAGAGATCTGGGGGTACAAGTAAAAATCTGGGGGGGTACAAAGCCCACCCCAGCACCTCCCTAGATCCGGGCCTGGGCTATGGAAAAATGTACATCAAGTCCTGCGGGTGTGATAATAACATACTAATCACCCAAATCGGGAGAAATACAATCACTGTAAGACAACTATTAAAAAAGGAAGATATTCCAAGAGGTTTATGGATGCAAAAGTATGGACATCTTGATTGTTATCGGTCCGTCTGTCTTCTAGTGGAACTATATCACCTTCTTCTCTCTCTAACGCGTCTGCTTCAGGGTGTTTGACACCTTCTTCACCCTCTTTGTAGTCAACACCTCTGGTGGAGGAGAGTCCAGGACTTTCTTTACCCTTGACACATGGATCCAGGCCTGAGAATCTGCTGTCAGAACTGCTGTACGGGTCACGGCTGTTATCACTGTGGGCTCCCCATAAGGTGGGTCCAGGACCTTGTGCTTATGTAGGGCTTTAACAACCACATGGTCTCCAGGCTTGAAAGGATGTGTTGGTTCCTGTGAGGGAAGCGGAAAAGAAAGAGAAACATCACCGTAGATGCCATTCAAAAGCCTTATACGATTCATCACATATGTTTCTTGGATCAGCTCTAATTCTCCAGGCATAATCACCAGCAGACCTTTGGTCCATGGGGTAGGAAATGGTCTGCTCATTAAAATTTCAAAAGGGTGACAATTTAGTTGTTTTGTTTGGTGTCATCCTGATTTCAGCCAACACTGCGGGCAGATAAGTCTCCCACTTAACAAATGTACCTCCAGTAGCTTTCCTCAACTTCTCCTTAATCATCCTGTTCATCCTCTCTACCATTCCTGAACTCTGCGGGTGATAAGGGATGTAAAATTTCCATTGAATAACCATTCATTTGGCTACCTGTTGAGTCACTTTGGATGTGAATGCTGGGCCCTTGTCTGAATCACCAGAGGGCATCCCCATCTTGAGATAATTTCCTTGCACAACATTTTGGCCACAGTGGAGGCATCCTCTTTGTTAGTGATAAAAACCTCCGGCCATTTTGAAAATGTATCCACTATAACCAGCAGATACTTACCTCTCTTGTTAGGCATGTGTGTAAAATCAATCTGTAATTCCTCAAAAGGACGCTGTGGTGGAGGAAGATGGTCATGTTGGCCATACTGTTGTCCTGTATTATTGTTCCTCAAATAACACACCTTCCTAACTGATCTTGCACCCGTTGTGACAAATTATGTATACAAAATGTTTTTTCATTTCCTGCAAAGTCCTCTGCCATCCTCTGTGCCCTATGCCATGAAACTGCTATAAGCACCGGTGCACTGTGCTGAGGTATCCCTATGATCCCCTCTTTGAACATCAGACCATTCTAGTCCAATGTCAAACCTTTGTCTTTCCAATATTGAATATCCTCTTTAGTGGCTGTGTACTGTAATTCTGTGAGTAACTGTTCCGGAGCATGGGCGGCTCTAACATAGTCAAAACAAGGCTGGCAGACTCCTGTGAAGACTGCAAAGCAGCTTCCTTGGCCATACAGTCAGCCAATGCATTACCCAGAGCTATGGGGTCATGTGAAGACGTGTGGGCTTTACATGTGATACCAGCAATAGTATGGGGTTTGTGTATGGCTTCCAAAAGATCATTCACTAAAGATGCATGAGATCCCCTGCCAAATCTTGCCAAAATCCTGCACTACATCAAATGTGTACTTGGAATCTGTGTAAATGTTAACATCTTTCCTTCAAATAATTCACAGACACAGGTCAGGGCTATGAGTTCTGCAGTCTGTGCTGAGATAAGGCAGGGCTTTGCTTCCCATACCTTATCTGGGAGTTGAACGACCGCATAACCTGCCAAGTAGACATTGTCATTAGGTCTTGTGCATGAACCATCTACAAAGATATCAACATTCCCTTCTACTGGCTCTTCCAACATGTCGGCTCTGGGAGTAGTGTCTTCATGTATAACTGGAACACAATCATGTTCCTCGGGAGGAATGTCAGATTCTGACTTCAAACCAAGCATGCCATTTAAAACAGCAATTGGCCCTGAACTTGGAGAGGAGTATTTAATAGATACATGAACAGTGGAAGTGAGAATGACCTCATACACACTGGCTCTTTGGGCTGTCATGTGTTGTGTGGGAAGATTCTTCAGAATTTGTAATACGTGATGTGTGGTATGTAACACGGTGTTATGTCCCAATGTCATAGCCATAGATGCCTCCACTCCCATTTTCTATGCCTGCATAACTGTCAGGGCTCCCAGGTATGACCAGAGGTGTGTGACTGAAGCAGGGAAACGCAGACCTCAGATATGTTATAAACAATATAATTTATTTAACACTAACAGTACAAACATAAACGCAGTGCAATACTAAAAACATAATACAGTGCAAACAAACCAAACCAAACCACCCACAGATAACAGTACATACAAGCAAGCGTCGTCAGGCAGGCCGGGGTCAATATCAATTGGGCAGGTAGGTACAGGGGGAGCAAGCGGAGAATGGTCGGGGGTCACAGGCCAGGTTCAGCAGGTAGCAAGCAGCATAGTACAGAGGGTCAGGCAGAGGGATGGTCCGGGTCACAAGCCAGGGATCAGAACAGGTAGCAAGCAGCGTAGTACAGAGGGTCAGACAGAGGGATGGTCAGGGTCACAAGCCAGGATCAGAGCAGGAGAAGTCAGCAAAGGAACAGAAACAGGATGCAGGACAGATACAGGGCCCAGGACAAACACAACACCAAGGCAGAGTCTGCAAGTCTGGCCATCCCTTAAATACACCAGTATCATCAGTTCCAGGTGTTAGCTGGCTGAAAGGTTGAGTCTCTGATTGCTGGGAGCACCCGCTGGCCAGCCCTGGTACTGCAGATCAAAAGGCAGGTGAGTCCCACCATTGCTGGCCAGTCCATTCCTAACAGTACCCCCCCCTCAAGGAGCGGCCTCAGGACGCTCCAAACAGTCCTAGCTGGGCAAAATGTTCCACCGCCCGGGTCTGGCAACTGGCGGGATATCAAAGACTGGCACACCGGGCAGGACTCCGGGCAGCGGCACACCGGGCTGGACTCCGGGCAGAGGGCACATCGAGCAGAGGTACACCGGGCAGAGGCACATCGGGCAGGACTCCGGGCAGAGGCCCATCGGGCAGAGGCACATCGGGCAGGACTCCGGGCAGAGGCACATCGGGCAGGACTCCGGGCAGAGGCACATCGGGCAGGACTCCGGGCAGAGGCACATCGGGCAGGACTCCGGGCAGAGGCACATCGGATTACCAGGCGAAGCAGCAGGCACCGGGCCCCCGGGCGGGGCGGCAGGCACCGGGCCCCCGGGCGGGGCGACAGGCACCGGGCCCCGGGCGGGGCGACAGGCACCGGGCCCCCGGGCGGGGCGACAGGGCACCGGGCCCCCGGGCGGGAGCGGCAGGCACCGGGCCCCCGGGCGGGGCGACAGGCACCGGGCCCCCGGGCGGAGCGGCAGGCACCGGGCCCCCGGGCGGGGCGACAGGCACCGGGCCCCCCGGGCGGGGCGACAGGCACCGGGCCCCCGGGCGGGGCGACAGGCACCGGGCCCCCAGGCGGGGGCGACAGGCACCGGGCCCCCAGGCGGGGCGACAGGCACCGGGCCCCCAGGCGGGGCGACAGGCACCGTGCCCCCAGCGGAGCGGCGGGCGCCGGACCCCCAGGCGGAGCGACAGGTCTCGGGCCCTCAGGCGGAGCGGCAGGCGCCGGACCCCCAGGCGGAGCGACAGGTCTCGGGCCCTCAGGCGGAGCGGCGGGCGCCGGACCCCCAGGTGGAGCGACAGGTCTCGGGCCCTCAGGCGGAGCGGCGGGCGCCGGATCAGGTACCGGATCATCTGGATCAACAGTGGGCATCGAGTCAACTGGCCTAATAGGATCGTCAGGCTGGATCAGTTCATCATGCTGGGTAGAGGCATTAGGCCGAGTAGAGGCTTCAGGCCGAGTAGAGGCTTCAGGCCGAGTAGAGGCTTTAGGCTGAAGAGAGGCATCAGGCCGAGTACAGGCATCAGGCCGAGTACAGGCATCAGGCCGAGTACAGGCATCAGGCCGCGTAGAGGAATCAGGCCGCGTAGAGGAATCAGGCCGAGTAGAGGCTTCAGGCCGAGGAGAGGCTTCAGGCCGAGGAGAGGCTTCAGGCCGAGGAGAGGCTTCAGGCCGAGGAGAGGCATCAGGCTGCGTACAGGCATCAGTCTGAACCACGGAAGGCAGGCTCACCGGTTTGGATACTGGCAGGATGGTACTGGTTGGAAAGAATTTTCGCTTTTTTCTGGTTTTAACTACTGGAGCACTGCAAGTAAACGCAGGTCTGCAAACGAATGGAGCAGCTGGAGACAGAGAAGAACTGGAGGATGGAACAGGAGAGGGAGCAGTTGCTACAGAGGGCTTTTTTACAGGGTTAAAGGCAGGATAGGTGCAGCGAGTGGGAACAGGGTACTGACATGCGGTAGATAGCCAAGTATACTGGGCTGTAACTGGAGGAGCTGGTGGGAATACAGGAGTAGAGTTAGAAGCAGGACTGGGTCTTTGTAAGCTGACTGAGGCTGGGTGCAACAAATCTGTCCATGTCTGCAGTATGGGTTGAACAAAGCTGAGCTTACACAAAGCCTGTCTGGTCAATGACTGCACTGCGTTTATACAATCTCTTAGTGTCTGTGGTGAACATGCAGAATAACGCTCCAGAAAGTAACCCACATCATCCTCTAATAACCACACCAGGGACTCTACTGGTCTGCACTAAATGGTGGCAAAAATTCATCCCTGCATTCGGGGGAACCAGATGAAACCAACTCTGCACAAACCTCAATCAATGGCTGCACCTCAGAGAACACTGTGCCCTGATCTACTAGAACATGAGCGAGCCGTATACATTCTAGCAGTTCATCCCGGGGATACTCCTTCAGAGTCTGATAAGCATACTCCCTGTCATCAAACACTAGCAGATATAAATACACAACCTCATCCAGATCCATCCTTCCCATCAACAAGCCAAGATGGCTTCCCTGTGCAGCCACTTCTGGTCAGGATTCTCCTTGGTGTAATGTCAGGGCTCCCAGGTGTGACCAGAGGTGTGTGACTGAAGCAGGGAAACGCAGACCTCAGATATGTTATAAACAATATAATTTATTAACACTAACAGTACAAACATAAACGCAGTGCAATACTAAACATAATACAGTGCAAACAAACCAAACCAAACCACCCACAGATAACAGTACATACAAGCAAGCGTCGTCGTCAGGCAGGCCGGGTCAATATCAAGGTAGGTACAGGGGGAGCAAGCGGAGAATGGTCGGGGTCACAGGCCAGGTTCAGCAGGTAGCAAGCAGCAGCATAGTACAGAGGGTCAGGCAGAGGGATGGTCCAGGTCACAAGCCAGGGATCAGAACAGGTAGCAAGCAGCGTAGTACAGAGGTTCAGACAGAGGGATGGTCAGGGTCACAAGCCAGGATCAGAGCAGGAGAAGTCAGCAAAGGAACAGAAACAGGATGCAGGACAGATACAGGGCCCAGGACAAACACAACACCAAGGCAGAGTCTGCAAGTCTGGCCATCCCTTAAATACACCAGTATCATCAGTTCCAGGTGTTAGCTGGCTGAAAGGTTGAGTCTCTGATTGCTGGGAGCACCCGCTGGCCAGCCCTGGTACTGCAGATCAAAAGCAGGTGAGTCCCACCATTGCTGGCCAGTCCATTCCTAACAATAACTGCCTGTATATACAGGTGAAACTCGAAAAATTAGAATATGGTGCAAAAGTTCATTTATTTCAGTGCAGCAACTTAAAAGGTGAAACTAATATATGAGTCTCATTACATGCAAAGCAAGATAGTTCAAGCCGTGATTTGTCATCATTGTGATGATTATGGCTTACAGCTCATGAAAACCCCAAATCCACAATCTCAGAAAATGAGAATCTTGTGAAAAGGTGGAATAATCTCGGCTCAAAGTGTCCCACTCTAATCAGCTCATTCAGCCATAACACCTGCAAAGGGTTCCTGAGCCTTTAAATGGTCTCTCAGTCTGGTTCAGTAGGAATCACAATCATGGGAAAGACTGCTGACCTGACACCATCACTGACACCCTCCATAAGGAGGGAAAGCCTCAAAAGGTAATTGCAGAAGAAGTTGGATGTTCCCAAAGTGCTGTATCAAAGCACATTAATAGAAAGTTATGTGGAAGGGAAAAGTGTGGAAGAAAAAGGTGCACAAGCAGCAGGGATGACCGCAGCCTGGAGAGGATTGTCAGGAAAAGGCCATTCAAAAGTGTTGGGGACTTTCACAAGGAGTGGACTGAGGCTGGAGTCAGTGCATCAAGAGCCACCACACACAGACGGATCCTGGACATGGGCTTCAAATGTCGTATTCCTCTTGTCAAGCTGCTCCTGAACAGCAAACAATGTCAGAAGCTTCTTACCTGGGCTAAGGAAAAACAGACTTGGTCTGTTGCTCAGTGGCCCAAAGTCCTATTTTCTGATGAGAGGAACTTTTGCATCTCATTTGGAAACCAAGGACCCCGAGTATGGAGGAAGAATGGAAAGGCACAAGGACCCCAATTGTATGGAGGAAGAATGGAAAGGCACAAGGACCCCGAGTATGGAGGAAGAATGGAGAGGCACAAGGACCCCGAGTATGGAGGAAGAATGGAGAGGCCCAAGGACCCCGAGTATGGAGGAAGAATGGAGAGGCCCAAGGACCCGAGTATGGAGGAAGAATGGAGAGGCACAAGGACCCCGAGTATGGAGGAAGAATGGAGAGGCCCAAGGACCCCGAGTATGGAGGAAGAATGGAGAGGCACAAGGACCCAGAGTAAGGAGGAAGAATGGAGAGGCACAAGGACCCCGAGTATGGAGGAAGAGTGGAGAGGCCCAAGGACCCCGAGTATGGAGGAAGAATGGAGAGGCCCAAGGACCCCGAGTATGGAGGAAGAATGGAGAGGCCCAAGGAGCCCGAGTATGGAGGAAGAATGGAGAGGCCCAAGGACCCCGAGTATGGAGGAAGAATGGAGAGGCACAAGGACCCCGAGTATGGAGGAAGAATGGAGAGGCACAAGGACCCCGAGTATGGAGGAAGAATGGAGAGGCCCAAGGACCCCGAGTATGGAGGAAGAATGGAGAGGCACAAGGACCCAGAGTATGGAGGAAGAATGGAGAGGCACAAGGACCCCGAGTATGGAGGAAGAGTGGAGAGGCCCAAGGACCCCGAGTATGGAGGAAGAATGGAGAGGCCCAAGGACCCAGAGTATGGAGGAAGAATGGAGAGGCACACACTGCAAGATGCTTGAAGTCCAGAGTGAAGTTTCCACAGTCTGTGTTGATTTGGGGAGCCATGTCATCTGCTGGTGTTGGTCCACTGTGCTTCATTAAGTCCAGGGTCAACGCAGCCGTCTACCAGGAGATTTTGGAGCACTTCATGCTTCCTTCCGCAGACGAGCTTTATGGGGATGCTGACTTCATTTTCCAGCAGGACTTGGCACCGCCCACACTGCCAAAAGCACCAAAACCTGGTTCAATGACCGTGGGATTACTGTGCTTGATTGGCCAGCAAACTCACCTGACCTGAACCCCATAGAGAATCTATGGGGCATTGCCAAGAGAAAGATGAGAGGCATGAGACTGAACAATGCAGAAGAGCTGAAGGCCGCTATATTGAAGCATCCTGGTCTTCCATAACACCTCAGCAGTGCCACAGGCTGATAGCTTCCATGCCACGCCGCATTGAGGCAGTAATTGCTGCAAAAGGGGCCCAAACCAAGTACTGAGTACATATGCAGCTTCTACTTTTCAGAGGTCGGATATTGTTCTATGTACAATCTGTGTTTTATTGATTGCATGGAATATTCTCATTTTCTGAGATTGTGGATTTGGGGTTTTCATGAGCTGTAAGCCATAATCATCACAATGATGACAAATCACGGCTTGAACTATCTTGCTTTGCATGTAATGAGTCTATCTCATGTATTAGTTTCACCTTTTAAGTTGTATTATTGAAATAAATGAACTTTTGCACAATATTCTAATTTTTCGAGTTTCACCTGTATATATAATTCCTAACTCTGGTGTTGTCAGATTTCATCCTGCCTCTTCTTTTCAGACCTTCTTAAATCTTTTTAGGAACTCCATAATTGATTCCATACTGCTCTGCTTACAAGCAACTACTGTAGCTAGTGACTGTTAATTTCTGCAATTAACTCCTTCCACATCTGTTTCTGTCCTACGGCAATTCTCCACTCATAGTCCACAGTCAGTCCAAATGGCTCATGAAACATGGTGGTCCAATCCCAACCTGATTCCATATCATATCCCAAAATTCCATCGATGATTATCCTCATGTCCTGTTGTGAACATTGTCGTCCCTGAGTTGCTCTTTTCAAGTAGTTAATGTCAGCAGTGGGGTTTTTCCGAGGATCAGGACAACCCTTTATAATGCCATTAATGTCATTCATTACCATTGGCTTTATCACCACATCACATCCCACAATGATGGAAGGGTAAGCTTGGGTGGCTCCCTCGTCTTCAGCGTCTTTTCTGGACCTCAAATAATACTTACTGAGTTCTTCTGAATTATCCTGTTCCGGCCAACTCACCTCTCCTGTTGAATCTTCTGACTCCTCACTTGCTGCGTCCCTCTCCTGTACTGTCTGCTCTTTTACCATTGATGTCTGTCCTCCTGATTTCATTGCCTTGCTTACTACTTTGCCTTTTTTATTTTCCTCCTTCTTGGTCCTGGGTGTCAGAGCAGTCACAGTTTGCTGCATCTGGTCTAATGTCCTTCCCAATGTAACTTTTGTTTCTTTCCACTCTTTATTCATTTCACGCATTGATACACTTGAACCTGACTCTTCTTCTGAAGAACCTTCCCCATCACCACCGATCACTGCCAAACAGCCTCCTTCATCGGTGGGAGACTCTTGGGGCAGAATGTAATGCATGTCTCCTCCTCCTATTACGTGACAACAAATAATCCTCATCCTTAGGGAGCTGAGGATACAGCTGAGTATAATCAGGAAGCGCAGTGGCAGGCAATAAGTGCCATAAATAGCGTTGGCACTATATAAATCCTGTATAATAATAATAATTGTCTGTTTAGTTACTGGGGCAGAAGGGATTGGTTTCAGGCATTTATATCCTGGGGCATACTTCAACCAATTCAATGCTCCCCCTCTCCATATATAGGGAAAGGCAGTTTTGTCCCCTAAATATATCCCCTTTATCATATCCATGTGAAAATCATCATCATTGTCCCCATCTCTGGGAAAAGGACTGGCACTCCCCATGGTTGAACTCCACCCCACCAGGCTGTCCACCCATTGGACAACATAAAAATCCAAACTGACACTCAGGCAACATACTCTTTACATGTCTCATTAGCTGGTAGTTGGGATTTTTCTAGAGCTGATCCGTCTTCCTTAGTAAATTTCTTTAACAGGTTTTCTTCCTCTGAATACTTTACACGGTGGCTCCGGAGGGTCTGGGTACTTCCCCTTACCTTGGGAGTTTCCCATCATCACTGCAAAGCAAAGATGCGATATTACAGTGAAGGAAATAAGTATTTGATCCCCTGCTGATTTTTAATGTTTGCCCACTCACAAAGAAATGATCAGTCTAAAAATCGAATGTTCGGTGTATTGTAACACTGAGGGACAGAATTTCAACAACAAATTCAGCAGAAATGCGTCTAACAAATGATGACTGATTTGAATGTTCATGAGGGAAATAAGTATTTGATCCCCTTCACAAAATATGACTTACTACTTGGTGGCAAATCCCTTGTTGGCAATCACAGAGGTCAGACGTTTCCTGTAGTTGGCCACCAGGTTCGCACACATGTCAGGAGGGATTTTGGCCCACTCCTCTTGGCAGATCCTCTCCAAGTCATTAAGGTTTGGTGGCTGACATTTGGCAACTCAAAATTCCAGCTCCCTCCACAGATTTTCAATCGGATGAAAGGTCTGGAGACTGGCTAGGCCACTCCAGGACCTTAATGTGCTTCTTCTTGAGCCGCTCCTTTGTTGCCTTGGCCATGTGTTTTGGGTCATTGTCATGCTGGAACACCCATCCATGACCCATTTTCAATGCCTTGGCTGAGGGAAGAAGGTTCTCACCCAAGATTTGATGGTACATTGCCCCGTCCATCATCCCTTTGATGCGGTGCAGTTGTCCTGTCCCCTTAGCAGAAAAACACCCCCAAAGCAGAATGTTTCCACCACGTTTCACAGTTGGGATGGTGTTCTTGGGGTCATAGGCAGCATTCCTTCTCCTCCAAACATGGCGAGTTGAGTTGATGCCAAAGAGCTGGATTTTGGCCTCATCTGACCACAACACTTCCCACCAGTCCTCCTCTGCATCATTCAGATGTTCAGCGGTAACTTCAGCCGGGCCTGGACATGTGCTTTCTTGAGCAGAGGGACCTTGCGGGCACTGCAGGATTTCAGTCCTTGTCGGCGTAGTGTGTTACCAATTGTTTTCTTGGTGACTGTGGTCCCAGCTGCCTGGAGATCATTGACAAGATCCTCACGTGTAGTTCTGGGATGATTCCTCACTGTTCTCATAATCACTGACACTTCACGAGGGGAGATCTTGCATGGTGCACCAGACCTAGGGAGACTGACACTTGTTTTGTGTTTCTTCCATTTGTGAATGATTGCACCAACTGTTGTCACCTTCTCACCAAGCTGCTTGGCCATAGTTTGGTAGCCCAGTCCAGCCTTGTGTAGGTCTACCATCTTGTCCCTGACATCCTTGGACAGCTCTTTGGTCTTTGCCATGGTGGAGAGTTTGGAATCTGATGGTTTGATTGCTCCTGTGGACAGGTGTCTTTTATACAGGTAACACAATGAGATTAGCAGCACTCCCTTTAAGAGACTGCTTCTAATCTCAGCTTGTTACCTGTATGAGAGACACCTGGGAGCCAGAAATCCTGCTGAATGATAGGGGATCAAATCCTTCTTTCCCTCATGAACATGCAGATCCGTCATCATTTGTTAGACATGCATTTCTTTTGAATTTTTTGTTGCTATTCTGTCTCTCAGTGTTACACCGAACATTCCATTGTTACACCGAACATTCCATTGTTAGACCGATCATTTCTGTGTGAGGGGTGAACATTCAACATCAGCAGGGGAGCAAATACGCATTTCCTTCACTGTATGTGAGCTGGCCTATGTGTTTCTCTCCCAGTGATGACTCTTTGTGCCGGGTGAAGCTGGACTGAACTCACATAGAGCTCCGACAAATTTTTTCTCAACTGCACAAGTGCTTCAAGGCTGAAAATCACCTGGACAGGTACACCCCTATTGTGACTCCTTCAGACTGTCACCATGCTTTCACCTATCCCAGGTCAATGGAGAAATCTCCTCGCTGAGTAGATGGGGCGTCTCACAGTCCTACAGAGACTTAGAATACATCTACTGAACAGTTTCTCTGGTTACAAGCGTACATAATCACTGAACACACTACTCTGTATGATTGTATGGAGGACATACACACATTTCTTATACATCAACCTAGGTTCTGTTTAACCCCGCGAGCTCCCAAAGCTCCAGCAGACAATTGCTCGTGCTACCGCAGCACAGAGGCTTGGTGGAGATAGGGGGCAATCAGGGCAAAGGAAGACAACAAATGCTCACTTACCTCCGATGGCCGATCCTATCCCACTTCTGACACCACTTCTGTCAGGAACATCAATTTATGCCGGCCTCCTCCTCCATACAAACATCCAGTTCAAAGTACTTTGGGAATAATGCAAGTCAGACATCTGGATGTGTGATGCAAAATGTGACTTCTTTATTATTCATCAAGCTTTAATAATAAATGAGAATGCGGCATATTTCAGGCAGTTTCCATAAAGCACCAATCAGAATACAGAATAGAGATTTCAGTAAACTACTCCATGGCGCGTCATAACAAAAATACAACAGGATAGTGACTTCTGTGATTTCTATAAACAAGAAATGTGTGCATAGATACCAGCATTCACATCCCACGGGAACATCTTGTATGTACAACAAACCAGTTAGTAGGCACAAAGCAAAAGTGAGTGAACTATTAACCCTTTCATATAGTAGGTGGAGCGAATTACTATGATACTTAGCGCCACCTAAAGGATGAATAGGGATTTTTTTTTTGTTTTAAATAAATAGTTGGTTTAGTCCTGAGGTTTTTTATGTCTTTAATGTCTACTATACTCATAAATGTATGAATGTGATCTCCGATATTTGTATGACACCACCCCCCTCACATAGTACACTAAAAATATGTCGGGGGAGAGAGAGAGACAAGCATGTGTGTCCAGCCATGACAAATTCTGCTGTATTTTAATAAACACTGATTTCCTATAATCATCAGCTCCCTCTAGTGGCCATAATGAAGTATTATTCAAAAACACATCAATCAGGAAAAACAGTTCAATACATTATGGCCACTAGATGGAGCCAATGATCATAGGAAATTACTGTGTGAAATAAAATTACACCATGTGACATGGCTGAATGAATGCTGGTCATATTAGTTCATCTATTCTCTAAGTGGGGTGGTATCTATTGGGCCAATCCCTTTTACAAACCACACATAATATCGCCCTTCAAAGTGAAAACAGAAACGATTTGCACAAAATCAAAGAGTAGAAATATTTTCCGGTGGATCCCCTCTACCCAGACCCCATATGTAGACATAGAACAACAAGCTGTGTTCCCTCTCGTGCCGCACTCCTCCAACCACCCAAACCCACACACAGAAGCCAAGGGAAATAATGAGAGGAAAGTTCCCCCCTAGTTTGGGGCGGAGTTCTCCTTCCCTCCTGTTGGGGGATGGGAGAAGGATGGACTGAAGACAGAGAGACGCTTCGGGGTCACCACTGTTCTGTAGAGCCTTGAAATGAAGGACATCAACTTCAGAAGTTCTTGTTGTCTGTGTAAAGTTCCCCGATAACGAGATCTGGGCTCTCCCGGCTTCTAGCTCTGTAACCCGCTATATCATTATCAGGAAACGCAACTCCGACACCCAAGAAGGGCTGAAGTTGTGTCCTTCATTTCCAGGATCTACTGACCACTCTGCACCCCGACATTTTGCACTGCACTTCATCCATGTCTTTGGGGGCCTCTCATCTCCTTATCAACTGTTTCTTCCATGATGAAGATCAGCCATGGAGTATATCTGAGGTGTATATCAGGGTGTGACTTCAATGAGAGCTCTTCCCCACATGAGAGCTGGGATGTCCAGCAACATTCATCTAGAAGACATTTCCCGCACTCAAGGCACTAATACACCTCCAGGGTTGTGTGGGACCCCTGATGTACAGGAAGACAGGACTTCAGTGAGGAACATTTCCCTCACTCAGGACAGGAAAGTGGCTTCTCCCCCTGTGTGAGATCTCTGATGTTTGGAAAGATGGACTTCTCTGAAAAACATTTCCCACACTCAGGACAGGAATACGGCTTCTCCCCCGTGTGAGATCTCTGATGTGCTAAAGATGGGACTTCTGTGAAAAACATTTCCCGCACTCAGGACAGGAATACGGCTTCTCCCCCGTGTGAGATCTCTGATGTGTGTAAAGATTGGACTTCAGCTGAAAAAAATTTCCCACACTCAGGACAGGAATACGGCTTCTCCCCCGTGTGAGATCTCTGATGTGTGTAAAGATGGGACTTATCTGAAAAACATTTCCCGCACTCAGGACAGGAATATGGCTTCTCCCCTGTGTGAGATCTCTGATGTGTGTAAAGATGGGACTTATCTGAAAAACATTTCCCGCACTCAGGACAGGACAGGAATATGGCTTCTCCCCCGTGTGAGATCTCTGATGTCTGTTCTGGAAAAGATTGGACTTCTGTGAAAAACATTTCCCGCACTCAGGACAGGAATATGGCTTCTCCCCCTGTGTGAATCTTTGATGTTTGTAAAGACTGGACTTCACTGAAAAACATTTCCCACACTCAGGACAGGAATATGCCTTCTCCCCGTGTGAGATTTCTGATGTGTGTAAAGATTGGACTTCTGTGAAAACATTTCCCACACTCAGGACAGGAATACGGCTTCTCCCCTGTGTGAGATCTCTGATGTGTGTAAAGATTGAACTTATCTGAAAAACATTTCCCACACTCAGACAGGAATACAGCGGCTTCTCCCCCGTGTGAGATCTCTGATGTTTGTAAAGATTGGACTTCACTGAAAAACATTTCCCACACTCAGGACAGGAATATGCCTTCTCCCCAGTGTGAGATCTCTGATGTGTGTAAAGATTGGACTTAGCTGAAAAAAACATTTCCCGCACTCAGGACAGGAATACGGCTTCTCCCCCCGTGTGAGATCTCTGATGTGTGTAAAGACTGGACTTCATGTGAAAAACATTTCCCACACTCAGGACAGGAATATGGCTTTTCCCCCTGTGAGATCTCTGATGTGTGTAAAGATGGACTTCAATGAAAAACATTTCCCGCACAGGACAGGAATCAGGACAGGATATGGCTTCTCCCCACACTCAGGACAGGCATGTGTGAGATCTCTGATGTTTGTAAAGAATCGACTTCTTTGAAAAACATTTTCCACACTCAGGACAGGAATACGGCTTCTCCCCTGTGTGAGATCTTTCATGTGAATTAAGGTTGGATTTAAAACGGAAACCCTCCCGCACTCAGTACAGGAGAACTCTTCCCTGTTGGAAGGCCGGCCCGGTCCCGCACAGTCTGAGGTTCCTCAGGATACGAGGAATCCGATGGTCCATCTACACTGGGTGGTGCCGGATGGACATTGGAGGGAGCCGGGTTTTCTCCTGGACTATACTGTGTGATGTCCTCATCTTCTACTTTCCAGTCTGGAGACAAAGTGAGACAATCCTCGGAGGTTTTCCTCATCTCCCGGCCATGGACTAAAATACAAAGACAAAGAGGATTACTAGACAGGAGCTGATTGGTTCCCCCATACCAGAAAGACAGTGAGAGATCCAATGAGAACTTTATCATCTGGACCAATCAGTGAGCAGTATGGGTGGAGGAATGGATTTAGTGTTCATGACCCACCTGTGCTGATCTCTGTAGGAGTGTCCTCCTCTATAAATGTCCCCGTTATTCCATCCTCCTCCATAGACTGCTGATCATCCCTCACATACGCCTCTTCTTCTTCTGCTTTCACCTCAAATTCTATATCGATTGGATCTCCACTCTAAATCAAGGAAATGAGAGAAAATATCATCTGTAAAATATAAGGATTGTGACTCACAACACATTGTCTGTACAAGTCCATGTTCTAGATTCTCCATCCCACCAACCTTGTAATAGTGAGGGATGGTGTGACCTTCCTGTGTGGAATCCCGGGAATACAGAGGACGGGGACATCTCTCTGGTGGGTTCCTGGTATTAGGTGGCTCCATCATATCCTTGTGTCCTTCTGAAAACTCCTCCATCACTCCATACTCCTCATCCTCCTCTTTATACTCTTCTTTAACATCAATATTATCATCCCCGAGGATTCCACTCTGAAAGATATAATAAAACATTCATTGTAACAAACATGCTGTGTATAAATCACAACTACCAATAATTGTCATCATCTACCTGATGATGGTGAGGGATGGTGTGACCTTCCTGTGTGGAATCCCGGGAATACAGAGGACGGGGACATCTCTGTGGTGGGTTCCCATGACTGGATCCATCTGTAGGAAACACACACACTGACTGAATCCATTGTTTCTATGTGTTTATCAGATGATGGGGGATCTAGGTGGATCCTCCGTACTGCTCTCTCCTTTACAATAAAGTCTCCTCTTACCCGGTGATGTGAGGGGCGGCTGATTGTCCATCATGACGTCCTTGTAGAGGTCCTTGTGTCCTTCTAAATATTGATGTGTATCATCATCTGCTGGGGATAAAAGACGTCACAGTGACTATGAAGGAAGAGGACGGACATGACGGGGGGTTACTGGGTGTAAAAAGAACATAACATCTTATTACCTCCTCTGTTGCCATGTCCACCAACGTCTCCAATCTCATTCAACCACATGGCAAAGCCTGCCTTTATTCAAAATGAGTTCCTGTCTGTTCCTGTCTTCACTTCCTGTTTGTTCTTGACATCACTTCCTGTCTGTACCTGACATCACTTCCTGTCTGTATTCCATAAAGAAGTCCTGTCTGGGTAGTAGATATGAGATCACCATCTTGTGGATTTCAGTGGAACTGCAGCCCCGAGAAATGTACCTTAATAACAATTCCTGCATTGTATCTACTTACAGAGATACCAGGGAAGAGCCAAAATAACTAAAAAAAGTAAGAAACAATAAACCTAACTCTTATGCAACCAACTGTTTAAAAAAGATATTTTACTACAGATAGAAAAGTCTTAAAGACACAGAACACAAGATAAAAACAAAGGAATACATAATAAAACAGAGACCTCCAAAATCAGACTATCCAGAATGTCTCGTCCTTCCTATCAGAGACCGAGACAGACTACCCAGATTGTCCCATCCTTCCTATCAGAGACCGAGAGAGACTACCCAGAATGTCCCGTCCTTCCTATCAGAGACCGAGAGAGACAGACTACCCAGAATGTCCCCCGTCCTTCATATCAGAGACAGAGACAGACTACCCAGAATGTCCCGTCCTTCATATCAGAGACAGACTACCCAGAATGTCCCGTCCTTCCTATCAGAGAGAGAGAGACAGACTACCCAGAATGTCCCGTCCTTCATATCAGAGAGAGACAGACTACCCATAATGTCCCGTCCGTCCTATCAGAGAGAGAGGCTACCCAGAAAGCCCCGTCCTTCCTATCAGAGACCGAGACAGACTACCCAGAAAGTCCCAACCTTCATATCAGAGAGAGACAGACTACCCAGAATGTCCCGTCCTTCATATCAGAGAGAGACAGACTACCCAGAATGTCCCGTCCTTCATATCAGAGAGAGAGAGACTACCCAGAATAAACAAACAAACAAGAGAAAACTGTGCTCAAATCCTAGTGCATGCATTTATCCATCAGGTGCTAAAGGGGTGTAACCACATATTAAAACACTAGAAATTCTGAGGCCCCTCTGCACACTGCTATATACCCTTCAAGCAGACTATGCAATAAATAGGGATATTTAGTTCACACATATTGCAATACATGCTTAAGCTGCCAACTGCGTCAAAGTGATCCCTCTATGGCCAGTCCTACTCTGCTCTGCCTACGCAAATGCTACTGTGGGACACCATGCCAACATAGGGGAAAAGACTCAATGGGGGAGAGCTAAAAGGTTGCATAGTCTGCTTGAAAGGGTATATAGCAGTGTGCAGAGGGTTTTTCAGAATTTCTGGTGTTAATATGTGGTTACACCCCTCTAGCACCTGATGGATAAATGCATGCACTAGCATTGTATTGTTGGGTCAGTAGCCAGACCTGAACCTTGTAGCTCTCCCCATTGTGTCTTTTCACCTATGTTGGCATTGTGTCCACAGTAGCATTTACATAGGCAGAGCAGAGTAGGACTGGCCATAGAGGGATTACTTTGGCAGCTTAAGCCTGTATTGCAATATGTGTGAACTAAATATCCCTATTTATTGCATAGTCTGCTTGAAAAGGTATATACCAGTGTGCAGAGGGGCCTTCAGAATTTCTAGACTACCCAGAATGTCCCATCCTTCATATCAGAGAGAGACAGCCTACCCAGAATGTCCCGTCCTTCATATCAGAGAGAGACAGCCTACCCAGAATGTCCCGTCCTTCATATCAGAGAGAGACAGACTACCCAGAATGTCCCGTCCTTCATATCAGAGAGAGACAGACTACCCAGAATGTCCCATCCTTCATATCAGAGAGAGACAGACTACCCAGACTGTAACATCCTTCATATCAGAGACCGTGACAGACTACCCGGAGTGTCCCATCCTTCATATCAGAGATAGACAGACTACCCAGAATGTCCCAACCTTCATAACAGAGAGAGACAGACTACCCAGAATGTCCCATCCTTCAAATCAGAGAGAGAGACAGACTACCTAAAATGTACCATCCTTCATATCTGATAGAGAGACAGACTACCCAGAATGTCCCTGTCACAGCTGTTTCCCCCTCTCAGCACCCCTGCTCTTTTCCTGCTTTCCCTGCCATCCATCGTCCCTTCCTCTCAGGCCCCCCCTGCTGTCCCTGCTGTCTCTGCCATCCCTCGTCCTTCCCCTCACGAGATCTGCTGAGACATGGAAAGGGGAAATGGGTGCTAATAGGCTGCAGGAAATCTGCTTAGACATAGAAAGGGAAATGGGTGCTAATAGGTTACAAGAGATCTGCTGAGACATAGAAAGGGAAATGGGCACTAATAGGCTGCAGGAGATCTGCTGAGACATAGAAAGGGAAATGTGCGCTAATAGGATGCAGGAGATCTGCTGAGACATAGAAAGGGAAATGGGTGCTAATAGGCTGCAGGAGATCCGCTGAGAAAATGAAAAATGAAAGGTGTATGAAATGGATGAATGTGCAGACACTCCCAGAAGATGATGTCATTATGAGTGGATTGATATATATTTTTGCATTGTCTCCCCCAGAAGGATCAGGTTTGGCGGGATCGCTCTCATTAGCTATACATTTGTATTTTGTGTTCTGTGTTTGTAAGACTTTTTCTATATGTAATAAGAGATGTTTGTTGAACAGTTGGTTACATAAGAGTTACATTTATTTTCTTCTTCCTTTATTCAGTTGTAGCACCCCCTTGGGTGATGCTTGGCTAGATATATAGGTTCAGCTCCCACCTGGTGACATCTCGATATACCCAGAACACTCCGACACTGAGAATATTTTATATGGGTTTTTTTGAAGAAACAAAACCCTGAAAAAGAACTGGCTGATTTAACACAGGTAATGTACATACAACACAGATACCACTTTGCATAACACAGTTAGTAAGAAGTCTCTTTTCATTCGCCAAAGGCTCCAGAAACTGCCTAGTATCACACTGACTAGGGTGGCACATGAGAGTGACATTGACACATGAACAATAACTGTTGTAGAGATGTGCTGGTTGCTTTAAATCTTAAACAGCAGCTGCAAAACATTTATTTTTTCTTTTCCCTCTTTGTGAGTGACAGACAGGGAAAGCATAACTGTGCTCTGATTGGTTGTTGCTACAGCTGAGAAGGATCCACCCATAGCAGCACTGTTGCAGCTGGACTTATGATTGGCTGTGAAGGAAAGGAGAGAGGAAAAAGGAAGAAGAAGCACATGTGGGGTAGGAGACATTTTCAGGGGACCGCATGGAGCAAGGGCTCCTGGTGTAAAGTCACAAAAGTTTCACTCTCTGTTCTGCTAAAACCTATGGACTGGGCTGGGAGTGTGTAGCAGAGGAATTGTTGCAGGAGGACAGTGTGCAAATCAAGGATTGTCCTGCCTGACACTGAGGATTACAGCCACTCAAGTGCATGTGTCTCTCAATGTCTGGAGCTGCTGAAAGAGAGAGGATTTCTACTGCTGTCTAATGCTATTTAGAGAACAATCCATAAACAGTGAGTACTCTGTGATGAAAGGGGATTTTGATATTGCTGCATTTGCTGTTCATCTGTGGAGAATGGTCATGAGAAAGCCTGCTCTCTAATTCTCAGAGTGACACAGATCTTGGAAAGCCCAAGCTGCTCAGAATTAGCTATT